GGTTGCCGGCTAAACCGGGTTGCTGTCCACCTTTGCTATTTTTGGGTCACCTTTGCTACTTCGATTCCATGTTGCTTGTGTCCGAAAATTCAGCCCCAGCTCCATCTCGTGTTTCCCTCTCTCTCTCAAAAAAGCTCCATCTCATACATGGGATACAACACCTCCCAAACATTTCATCCCAAATAAGGTGTTGTAGGCATGGGAAAATGAAAATAAAAAAGAGAAGAAAATACTAAACAAAAACATAAATGGACAATCACATATAATAAAAAGATACAAAACAACAAAGAGAAAAAAAAGGAAATATTTGTGTTGTTGTGTCTTTTAAAAGGTTCATAGTGTATTTTAATAACATGCATACAAAAAGGTAATCGTGTATTTAATCAATATTCACAGGTATTCGTGGTTATTTTTGGATCACTTTTACTAATTCGATTCCAAGTTGGCAAGTTGCTTGTGTCTCAAAATTCAGCTCCATCTCTTCCTAGTATTTCTCTCAAAAAGAGCTCTATCTCGTCCATGGGACATAGGAGCATCTCCAACAACTCCCAAATACTTCATCTGAATAGTGTGTTTTAAGCATGGTAAATGAAAATAAAAAGATGAAGAAAAAATAAACTGTAAAATAGTGTGGTTGGATGGTTAGGTGGACAGTGGTATTTCCCAGCTCATCAGGGTTCAAGTCCTGGTGCTCGCATTTATTCCTGGGTTTATAAGATCTCCGGCGATGAGTGTTCAGTGGGAGAAGATGTTTTCATCGACTACGAGGCGTCTTTGGTGGCTTCATCAATCTCAAGATGATATGTCGGTTTCAGTGTCTCGGAGGTGCTTATAGGGATAGGTTGTACATGTATGTTCATAGCGATGAGTATGTGCGTATATATAAGCGTCTGTACCATGTCTCAAAAAAAGTACAAAACAAAGAGAGAGAAAAAAGGAAAATCATATACATATAAATAATAAATGTAAATGCTTCAAAGTATAATAAAAGGAAAATAAGAGAAAAAGGGAAAGATGAAGGAAAAAATAACGCGTCCGCCGGCAAAGATCAGCCGGGCCGTGAGCCGTCGGATTTACCGCATCACATGGCTAAACGTGCCTCCATTCGGCAACACATGTCTTGTTCCGGAATTATTTCTGCAACATGGGTCTTGTTGCGGAATTATTTCTGCAACACATATCTTGTTGCGAACTTATTTCTGCAACACAGGTCTTGTTGCGGATTTTTTTGCAACATCAGCTTTTTTGTATTTTTTGCAACTGAGGTTTTGTTGTATTTTTTTTTTTTGCAACTGAGGTCTAAGTGCAGAAATAATTCGCAAGAAAAGTTTTGTTGTAAAACGTGGACCCGTCATAGAGTATTGCAACACTGCATATGTTTCGGAAGCATAACTCCTGTTGCAAAAGCGAGTTTATTGAAGGATGGTATACGGGACGCGTGTCACGCAGGGAATGTGACGGACGCGGCCCAATTATCCACCGGTTGATGATAAGTGTTTCCCAAAAAATAGACGAGTAACACAAGTAAAGCTACACGTACGGGGATTTTATACAGGCTCTTACGGAGTTGATCCAATGTGGCACTTTATTGGGTGTAAATTGAGGAATTAAAGGGCATGTTTAGTTTATTGGAAGCTGCCCGTCAGCCTGTAGGAGACCGTATGTCTACCAGTTTTTAAGCAACACCCTGCCAAACAGAGTCTATATCTCCTCTGTTGAGAGATATATGGCTCCCTCGCCTACAGACCACCCGGTCACGGCTGGCCCAGTCAGTACGAAGGGCCGGGGTAGTCTTTTCCTGCTTCTTTCGCTCGCCCCGTTTTTTACATGGTTTTACTTGAAACAGTAATGGGATGGTTTCGATACTTCTTGGGGGTCAATACTTCCTTTCTTTTACCTTTTTAATATTTAATATTTTCATTCTTTGTTGTAATGTTTTCTTTTCTTCTATTTCTTTCTTTTGCTGTGTTTTTTAAAAGGTTCATCGCGTATCTCAATATTGTGCATACAGAAAAGGTGCTCGTGTATTTAAACGATATTCACATGTATTGCAAAATGTTCAACATGTATTTGAAAATTATTCATCATGTATTTAAATATTATCCATCATGTATTACAAGATGTACATCATGCATTAAAAATAATATACATCATGGATTACAAGATGTACGTCATGTATTATAAGATGGACGAACTCGAGGAGGATTGGAGATCGGAAGACCATCTTGATGAAGAAGGGGCGTCATCTGCCCAAACGGCACCCTGCTTTGCTATCTATATTATTTACTTGCCCAGAGGATATTATATTCAACTATTTTCATATCTATATTAACGGCCACAAATATGACAATATTAAACCTATCAAAGGTCATATTGCACTGGGTGATGATCAAATAAGCTCTATTGCCCCCGCGTTACCCCCCTCGAGTTCGCCCACCTGGACGGACTCGGCAGAGCTTCGGCGTAGATTTGTGCCGTCTTCTTGGGCGGTGAGGTTAGGGTTTCTCATCCTGCGTGTGCGACGACGAGTTCATGAGGGTGGATGCATGAGAGAACTCCCTGGTGTATAAATTTGATGTCCTATAAATACAAAAGTTAGATAATTATTTCTTTTTCTTGCAGGTGTTACACAATTATTTCACCTCCAAGCCTCATGAACATGACTATATACGTGTGTGAAGTGTACATGGTTATTTAAATAATTTTGACAAAAGTGGATCGCCCCCGCGCCGAGCGACTCGCGAGGATCCAATCCTCGCAGCCGTCGGGGTCGCCGTCTCCTCTCTCCCTTCCCTTCGTCGCTGCCGGAGGACGCCGCCGGGCTAAGCCAAGGCGGCCGGCGGTGGTGGTGGAGGCTCCTCCCTTCCCTGCCTCAGCGGGTCACGCGGGGCCTCCTGGCGCGTGGAGGCGTCGCCAAGACCTGCGCCAGGGCGGCGCTCGACTAATTCCCGACATTGGCTTGGGCGGCGGTGTGGGTCACACGATGGCCGATCTCGTCACTCTAGTCATCGTGGAGATCTCTGGACCTGGGGCGGTGACCTCGGTAGGCATGGCGGCTGCGGCCTTGGCTGGCAGCGCTCGAGGGTGGTGGATGGACGGATGTTTGACTGCGTGGGTAGTGAGTGAGGTAGTCCTGGATTAAGGGGTCCTCGGGCGATCGGCCTGTGTGACATGGGCCGTGCTGTTGGGCCATGAAGATACAAGATAGAAGACTTTCTCCCGTGTCCGGATGGGACTCTCCTTTGCGTGGAAGGCAAGCTAGGCGTCCGGATGTATTATTTCCTTTCTCCGTAACCGACTTTGTATAACCCTAGGCCCCTCCTGTGTCTATATAAATCGGAGGGTTTAATCCATAGAGGACAATCACAATCATACATGCTAGACTTCTAGGGTTTAGCCACAATGATCTCGTGGTAGAACAACTCTTGTAATCCTTATACTCATCAAGATCAATCAAGTAGGACGTAGGGTATTATCTCCATCAAGAGGGCCCGAACCTGGGTAAAACATCGTGTCCCTTGTCTCCTGTTACCATCGACCTTAGACGCACAGTTCGGGACCCCCTACCCGAGATCCGTGGATTTTGACATCGACATTGGTGCTTTCATTGAGAGTTCCACTATGTCGCCGCCAGAAGGTTCGATGGCTCCATCAATCATCTGCAATGATGCTGCCCCGGGGGAGGTTTTTCTCCCCGGCCAGATCTTCGTATTCGGCGGCTGCGCACTGCGGGCCAACTCGCTTGGCCATCTAGAGCAGATCGACAGCTATGCCCCAGGTCACCAGATTAGTTTTGAAAGCCTGGATTATGTCGCTGATATCCGAGGAGACTTGATCTTCCCAGGATTCACGACACCAATCTCCGCTCTGGCCTTAGAGCCGGAGTGCGTCGCCAGGTCCAAAGACGGGATTTCCAAACCCGACGGACTATCTGCGGCTACTAAGCCCAGTACGGGAGAGTCGAAGGAGGCAGTGCCGCTGGCAGCCATCACAAAGGCGGACACTAGCTCCGAACCCTTGGAGAAGCATCGTGTGAGCTCGGCCATGGAGTCCCCTTCCTGCCGTACTCCACGAATTCTTTTCTCCCTGGACAAACCTCGCCTTTAAGCGAGGCTCTGGACTTGATGCGATCCCTCGTTATTACAGAGGGGCAACGGCCGAACCACGCCCA